TTTTGGTGGGACATACAAAACTGTGAAGAAATGATTGAATCGGAAGAAAGTTTCATTCACTTAGCACTGCAAGCTAGTGATCCATTTCAATTCCTAGCAAAGGTTCTGTCTAATGAAAGAGTTAGTGATCTCGAAAGAATTCGTGGTTTGAATAGGGTTCCAGCGACTCAAGATGCATCTGCTAGTGCTTATCAAATCAGGAGTTATCTTTTGCTTAATGCTGAAATGGGTAGGCGAATGAATCTTCTTCCACCTCCTGAAAAGGTAATCCAAGATTTGTATTTGTGTTTGAAAGATGAACTTCAAGAGTTCTTGCATTCAAGATTGGATAATAATAAGTATGCTCTCATAGAATCTCGGTTAACGAGAAAGCTCGTCAAATGACTCTATGTGCCATTGATATATGGTAAGACGATTATAACAATGGCTAGTGATACTCGTGAGGTTTATGGTTCATTGCTAAGTATTAAGGATTACTATCACATTACTCAACTTTGTCATGCATTTTGGAGAAAGAAACATCCTGACATTGTAAAACCCGATTAAATTTAAATTTTTTTGAAAAAAAAGGTAAAACTCGGATGATGCAACAGACCTCATCGTTGAATTTGTATCGCGAAATCAAGTTGTCATTTCAATTTTCATCGAATTCTGAGATAGTCGAATTTTACACGTTTTACGAGACAATTGGATGACGAATAACCTCACAAGATCCCAAAAAATTTTTTATAAAATTTCCTATAATTAGATAAAATTTTAAATAAAATTAATTTGAACTGAAACTAGGAATTAATTAAAACGTTTTGGGTAAAAACGAATCCGAAAGTAATAAATGTGCGAGGCAATGTGGACCGCACAATTAAAAAATATAAATAGGGGTTAAATATCTGAAAAATCATATATTTTCACCCCATTTGGCCGGCTGAATCAGACGTTGAAGAAAGAAAAGGGAGAGGAGAGAAAATCTAAAATTTTACCTTTCTTCTTACGATCCAAGGAGTTCCGTCGGTCAGAATTCATCGAACCAATAATTAAAGTTGGTCTACGCGACGAGGGCTACGCGTACGTACCAAGAACGAGGGATTTCACCGAAAATTCAAAGAATGAATTTTGAAAAAATCAAATTTTGGGGTGGTGTTGGAGTTCTTGAAGTTTCTACCTTCTATTTACGCTCCAAGAGGTAGGGTTTCTCCTACCTTGGTTTATTTTCTTACCTAGAATATTTTATGAAATGGGTAAGGGTATGGGATAACCTAAGTCACTTGACTATGGTTAAAAAAAAGGAGGAAATGGGTATGGAATTGGCCTAGATCAATTCCTAGCAAAGTTCGGTATTGAGGAAGTACTTATGTAATCCCTTGAAACTTAACATTTTTGGGCATACTATGCATTCTATTGTTGCCTTCTTGGTGTTTTTCTAAGTACTATGTGAACTTTGTTGAGGATGAATAAGTTGTTACATGTGTTAATATATTAGCATCATGTTGATTTATGGTAATTGTATGCAATTGATATTAATTGTCATGACATAAGTGAAAATATGTGGTTAAATGGCTCATTTGGCATTCATTACATTTTGGGCATGATATGAAATCACATTCATGGTTTTAGGCATGAGTGTGAATGTGTGTGGACGTGATTGATTCAAACATCATATATGGTAGTTGAAGGTGGGCTCAGGAAAGTGGGATTGAAGATTCCACTGAGTCGCACGATTGCATACATGAAAAACTTGTGTTGAGTATAACAAAAAGGGCTATACACTTCCTCGAATGAAAGACCCAGTTACTTGGTTCATACACTCCCCTGAGATGAAATTCTGGAAAAGTGTAATGGCGTACGGAGCCAGCGGTGTGATTCCAAACTCCAATACCCAACAAAGACACATGGTTTTGGTTTATATAAATGATTCATTTGATGGGAAACATCTAACAATGAATGGGTTTTATGAACGTATGATTGTATTTCAAAATGATCTTTGGATGTATTTCATCAAGGACAAATGTTTTACACACATGCATTGCATTGTGTTGTGGGAGCTGGTGAGGACTCTGGATAAGGTGCATGAGTGAGTGCTTGACAAATTTTCTTGTTGTTTTCTAACCTATAAACATCACCTTTTAGCATGTATAGGATATAAATAAAGGGGAGTGTCACTCTCCTAGGGATGATGTCAAAAGAAAGGGCAACGAAATGGTGGATGAATGAGATTTCAAATGTGAGTGTGTGAACAAAAGTGCTCCCAAGCGCAAGGAGACCTTCGCGGATCGTGTTTTATTTGGTGGTATTTCAAGGTCGTTTCCACGGGGAAGGAAGTAAACCGAGGGGAAGGTGATTGGGGAGAAAGAAAGTGTAAAATCTTTGATTGTGGAAGTTGTTTTGATGCTAGTATTGATTCGTGGGAAGCTAGGGGTAAGATTGGTGAGTATCTAAGTATAAACTGTGACTAGGCCTACGGAATATCAAAAGACTCACCAAGTTATCCACCCTCAACCCAGTCAAACCGAACCATTGAACTCTGAAAAGAGGGGAGGAGAATGAGTTGAAATGGTATACCCAAGTGGAGGTTCCTCTTGGTTTTGCCAACTAAGAGATTTAGCTATTCATGCTTAAAATAAAGACAACAATATGATGAGAAGACATTATAAAAAAAATAAAGACTAAAACTAAGCATAAACGAATTGCATAAATTTAACTTCTGGATAACCACCTCTTACTAAAGATTGGATGAGAAACTACTCACTCTTCATAGCTTTGTTAAAACTAGAAAAGTGAGTGATGTTCATCCCTCCAAGTAGAGGAGTTACAAGGTAACACATTTTACACAATGAGCCGATCTTCGACAAAGAATGAGTGAATCACGTTCCACCCTTCACGGCTTTGGTAAAGCTCTAGAAAAGTGGAAGAGTTTCACTCCTCTAAGGGAAGAAGGAAGCTCAAGCAATGGAAGTAAAAGAAAGCAATAACACAATAAAAGAAAGCAATACTTAAAGTAAAAGAAAGCAATAAATTAAAAGGAAGCAAGAATACAATAAAAGAAAGCAATACTTAAAGAAAGCTATAAGCAATAAGGAAAGCAATAATACTTTTGGAGGGTTTTCCACTACCAAAAGATGAATGTTTTACAAGTCCTAAGGGGTGGTATTTATAGGCAACAAGGGAGGGTGAAAGTCTTGTTAGGTGGCCTTGAATCTTGTTAGGTGGACTTGAAGAGTCTTGTTAGGTGGACTTGAAAATCTTGTTAGGTGACTTTGAATCTTGTTAGGTGGACTTGAAAATCTTGTTAGGTGGCCTTGAATTCTTTGATCCTCCTTTGTTTGAGCTTTGATAATTGGCACCCCAGTAGTTTGTAGTAGCAATTGGCTCCCCAGTAGTTTGTAGCTTTGACGCACAAAATCCTGAAAAGAACAACAATTAATGCATTATCCTTTATTCACACACTAATTCTAATTTGATTTATTTTGACTAGTTTAACTTTATTCAACTAACACAATTTACCTATTAAATTATACCTTAATTAGGGTTAATCACACCCCAACCTAAATATTACTAGTCCCTAGTAATAAACAACATAACAAAATAAAATCACTTTCGTAGATAACACGATTGCATTTAGCATATGCAATAAGCCGTTAAATCCTAGGTGATCCCTAGTGGACGAGTTTTGTCTCGTGAAGGTTTCCAGTGAAGCTACCTACAAACTCCAATTAAAAGATGTGTATATGTAAGATTTCTTGTCAAAATGAGTTAGCAACAGAATCATTGAGGCACACATCTCTTAATTTTTGAATTGTTTCCCGAACACTTTTCTGTCAATGGTACGTACTCTATACAAAAATAAACACTTGTTACATTGGTATTTGGAATTCCTTGTGTAGTAGGAATGATCATTCTAGTAGCAAGAAGAATTGTTATATAACAAACATTCTACTTTATCACCTTCCATGGATAGCTTTGATTTCTCAAATCTCTCTTAGAATGCTCTCAGCAAAAAAAATTCACTCCGATTATAATGACTTGTCTCTCAAAGGGCATGTGATCAGAGGATGGTCAATCGAAGAATCACATGCACAGTTAGAAAGGGAGTGAAAGTCTTAAGAAAGTAGGCTAATCATGTTCTTGGCATAATCTCATGGAAGAATCAATGCAATTAAAGAAATACTATTTAACATACCCCAGTTTTCGGTCGACAACACACACATGCATTAGACTTGAGATCAATTAGGACTTTCTATAGGTTGTAATGTGGCCAGAGGTTAGTGGCTAATGAAACGACATCAATGGTATTCAAAAGCTATCCCCTTTTTAATGTAGCACACCTCTTTCTTGCTTTTCAGTCTTTTGCCTAGAAATGGTATTTCTTTCTTTCAATTTTTTTTTTCGATTCTTTATTGAACAGTAGCCACCATCTTTTTTTTTTGTTTTTCTTGACTTTCTATGTCATACCGATTTACAAGAGGGTGCAAGAAAAAATTGGATAGCAAGGTATGTTAAGTGTAAATTTTTTTTTTTTTTTGTGGCTCGGTTATCATATGGGTTTTTCGAGAAAAAAAAAACCATCATTCATTGAAGGCTCAAACATGGCTAACTAGGGATATAATTTTGTAGAAGCAATAGCTAAGGTTCAAAATCAACTCAAAGATGGCCTAAAATCCTTTCTCAAGTATGTGCCCGTGTTGCATGCAAAGGTTCCCTGTAGGATATGTCAGTAGATTACTTTAGTTGCATTTAATCAAAGCAAGTTTAATGAGATTATTCAACAATTGAAAGTGAAAGAGCTTACTTGAGTAAATGTTGATTGTCTCTCAGAAAGCATCGTAAGGCTCAAAACTTACCATGGTATTCTTCGTTATTTCCACTGGTTATGTCAGGTTTTCAAAGAATGTCAGTTATATTATAATTCTATTTTCGAGTCTGGTCATTCTGTACCTTAAGATTAACAAATACCAATGTGCATTTGACATTTCAGCATAGAGAAAATACCATTTTTCAAGAAAATGCAGTTTTTTTTTTTACTCGAATAAAAATCAAAACTATTTACATACACATTTATCCATGAAAATTTACAAAAAGACTAAATGCACATATTGAACTTGGAAAACTATGGTGTCTCAGGATAGGTCCCTACCCACGCTACAAATTATCATTTTAGGACAATCCTTACTCGGCCCACATTTTTATTTCAATAAAAAGACTTTGTACATAAATAAATATTTACAAAAAAAAAATTTCGGACCATTAACCTTCATCCCCAAAACACATTTTTCCACAGCTTTGTCATTATTAGTTAAAATTTAATCCGAGTCGTCGCTTGTGTCTATGTCATTATTAGAGACCCTTCCCACTTCTTGTCGCACATAACGT